CACACGCAGCTCCAGCCATCAACGCAGCAGCAGCAGCAGCAGCTGGCGGCGGGGTGGGGCAGGCACCGACTATGAAAAGCCCCCATGCTGTCCCATGGGCCTGGCCTAGTGGGGAGACCACAGAGCTGGCCAGCTCGGATGGTGACAGTGAGTAGTGACAGAGGCGACACCCCATGTGTAGAAAGGAATCCAGAGAAAGATCAAGAGAGGGAGAGTAACAAGGCAAGAAGTCCTTCCCGGCTGTGTCTCCTTCCCTGGGACACCAACCAGTTCCGGAGGCAAGTCAAAAACCGAGGATGTCAGCAGGGCTGTGCTCCCTCTGCAATCTCTAGGGGAGAGTTGGTTTTGTTTTTGTTTTTGTTTTTTTTAAGGTTTTACCCATTTACTTGAGAGAGAAGAAGATCACAAGCAGGCAGAGGAGCAGGCAGAGGGGGTGGTGGGAAGCAGGCTACCCGCTGAGCAGAGAGCCCGATGCGGGGCTTGATCCCAGGACCCAGAGACCATGACCTGAGCCAAAGGCAGAGGCTTAACCCACTGAGCCACCCAGGCGCCCCGAGAGCACTTTTTTTGCCTCTTCTGGCTGCTGGTGGAGGCTGGCAATCCACTCGTGGATTGTGCCCCGGCCTGTGGTCACATCTGTGCGGTCTCTGCCCCCGTAGGCACACAGCGCTCCCCTTCATGGGTCTGTGCCTGCCCCTCCTGAGGACACAAGCCATCCTGCCTTCAGGCCCACTGCACTCCAACAGGACCTCATCTTACTTCAATCACCAGCAATAACCCTATGTCCAAATAAGGTCGCTTTCTCAAGTTCGAGGGGGAGGGCGTGGACGCACCTACTGGAGAAGCAGTTTCAACCCAGAACCACCCATGAAATCCCCAAAACCTTCCAGCCAGCAAGCGCCAGAGACTGCATGCCTCCCATCCACCCAACTCGGACACCCACGTGGGAAGGTCACTGGTCAGGACCAGGATCCTTCCTTGGAAAATGCTGAGAAACAAGGAACGCGCCATGGGTCATCAGAGGGGGAAAAAAAACAAAACACTGAGATTTGACCTTGGAAACACTCTTCAGCAAGCTGTTCCTTGAACAGGTCCCTGGAATTATGCCTTTCGACTCTCATTTCTAGGCTTTTCTTCCACCCATCTTCCCCATCCAGATGTTATCCCAAAGAGGCAGGGGAATTACAATGTTTATGACGGTGCCAAAAATAACTGAGCATTCCATGAAGCTATCAATTCCAATGCAACAGTGATTTTTTAAAACTCAGGAGATCAAGTTTGTTTCTCAGATGATGATGCTCCGTGTTCCTAGCAGACAAAGGCTTTCAAGGTGTGGCGCGTCTTGCATCAGTGGGCCCTGGGCATGGAGCCAGCCTGAGTTGGCCGAAAGGGGAGAGGGGGCAGATCTCGATGGCTCGAAGTGTCACCAAGCCTGCCTATGTGTGGCCTGTAGACTTCAGAGAGGCAGATGAAGACTGTAGACCGGAAGAGAAACCCAGGGTAACCAGGATCTTAGTAAGGGGAGTCAACAGTTATCACATCAAGGAGCAACAGTTACCCCTGGGAAGAACACACCTGCCCATTGCGGCATCGAAATTTCAAAAGCAAACCTGATCTCCCAACCAAGAGAAAACCCTCACCGCCCACTGAGCCCAGGTGGCTAGGGATCACTGCCGTGCCAGGGATAACAGAGAGCCCCCTCACCTGGAAAACACACTTAAAGAAACCCTAGACTGTCCTTCCTTCCTCTCTTGACCAAAGACGGCTCTACTTCCCAAGTTCTCCACTGGCTTATAAAGGAAGGCAAATTCAGCTGCCCCCTCCCTGCCCCTGCCCCCGCCCCAGCAAGAGAAAAAGCCTGGAGACACGTTCCCAAGTCCTTAGAAGCCCCAGAACCTCGACAGGAATTCACATTCATGAACTGACATTTCCCCCCAGGAAACCAGGCAACGGGCCCCAGAACCCCCACTGTCTCCAAGCTTTGAGGAGTTTCTCTCACCCATCCATGACCCTGTCTTGTTTGTTTTCTAACATTCAAATACAGGAACTTCAGGACTCAGAGTCTACCCCACCGCTAGACCCCACCCCCCAAGAAGAAAATACTGATGGCCATCATTATGGAATCGTTTCAAATGAGAAATAGGCTAATCCTTCCCTTGCTAACCCGCAACTGAGACCGTGGGCACAAGAAAGAGAAGACAATCAGAAATCGCTATTGAAAACACCCACTCCCGGCCTTCCACAGAGCTTCTAGATGTGCCGTCTGCAAGGCCGGAGGGCATCAAGGTGCCAAGGACCTAGACAGGCAGGTCTCCAGTCAACAGACACTCAGCTCTGCTGAGACGTCTCCCCTATGAGAAATCTCTCATACATGGGGCGCTGGACAGAGCTTGCCTTTAGACAACGACGGCTTTTCCTGCAGGCCAACCAAGAAGAAAAAAGCAGCATTTTCATTTTTCCTCCCAGAGGGCAGCCTTCACGACATCATGTGCCTTCATAAAAGCGAGCTCACACTGGTCAGCCAGTGGACTAACAACTAGAGGACGAGGGGGAAAGAGGCAGTGCGATCCTCACCATCGTGGGGCTGGAAATGAAACCACCCAGACCCACGAGAAGCAACAGCAGGGCCCCCTTCTCCCACAAATGGGCTTGAGGGAAAAGCCAAGGCAACCACAGTTCCTGTAGGGACCTGTTGAGGGGACCTGGCTGCTTGCCTATCAGCTCAGAGCTGTTGAGAAAAAAAAACCTACTGTTGTGCCCTGGACCCAGGGGACCCCATCGGCCATCTGTGGGCTTTAGTGGGAACGAGGATAAAGGACAGTCGAGCAGTGAGCCAGGCACAAGCCCTGATTATGACTCACTCCAATCCTTGGTTGACTTTGGGGCGTTTCCAGAACATTGTCTGCATTGCAGTTGGGCACAGCTCCTAAAAGCCAGACTCTAGTCCAAAGGCAGGTTAAGATGCTGATAAGAAAACCGTGCTTTTTCCTCCAGCCCTTTATCCCCATGACTTCCTTTTAACACCCAAGGTCTCACGTCTTGACTGAGAGATAACTGCCAACCTAAGACCTCTTTTCACTTTTCTAAAGCAAAGCAATTGTGAACTTGACATACCAACCAGATAAATCCAACTTAATAGGAACGTTCAGTGGCCAAGGACAAGCCGCCAAGAGCTAAGTATTAGGTTAGCAGAGGTTAAATTACTTCCATCCAATGCCAACCCGAAGTCAGGAATTGCTGATCTTTGGGTAGAGTTATAAATCAAGGATTAGGAGGCTGCAGTTGAAGGAACGGCCCTATCCTACGTGGAAAATCCTTTTGCTCCCACTTCCCTTTGAAGCCAGCCTCTCGTGCCAAATACTAACCTATCCCTTCCTGGGGGGGTACGCCAGGACACTTCAACTTGGAATCAAGGACCCCGGGAGCCCACTCGAGATCCTCAGAAACACCCAGCCAGTGCACAAGCTCCACCAGTCCCTTCTGCTCCCCAAGCAGCTTGCTGAGACCCAACATCCGACTTACCAGGCACGCAGAATGGTTAGGGTGCTTCGTACAGGTGGGCACCGCTGCGAGCCCAGCAAAGATGGGCAAATTCCAATGCATTGAACACTCCAGGGAAAGCCTACCCGTCCCACTGCTCACATTTGATTGAAAGCAAAAATCCTCCTGAGCAGTCTGCCCAAGGATCGTCTACCATCATTTTGTTTCCCTTCTCAAAATGTGGAGGCAGCAACTTGACCCTCATGTTTCTCAAGAGGGTAATAAGCCTTACACAAGAGGTTATTCCAACAGAGGGTCCCGGACACCTCCTGACAGCCCTAGTGGCCAGAGAGGGGTATTACACGCAGCGGAGGCCTGGGGCCCTGGAGGGCAAGATCCTCCCACAGCTGAGCGGTCTGGCTAGGGACAGAAAATGAAAGAAACTCAGCCTTCCCTTGGCACACAACCTTCCTGCTCAGTCCTCTTAACGAGGCTGCAGCCAACCATAAATAAATTAGGCTCTGTCACTATTCCACTCATCCTAGAGACTTTAAAAAAAAAAAAAAAAAACAAGTTGTAACCCAACTTTCACGGCTTCTATGGAGAATACTTTTTATTATACAAGTATCGTATACACAACATTACTCGGGGAATGTTTACAGCCATTTCCAAACCTCCATTTGACCCCCACGCACGGTACCACACACCCACCCATCTTCTGGTTCAGCACGGTGGGAACGAGACACAAAACTGTCGCTTCGTGAACACAAGAGTTTCAGTTAAATAGAAGCTTCCGCACCCAAAACAGAGGCCAGGATCCTAATTCTTCATACCCTGTGTACATTATGAATAAAACCTAAAAGTAGTGTTTTAGAGTACCCCACCACCTTGAGAAGTTAATATTAAAGTCAAATCCCATTTGTCAAAAAGTCTTAAGAAGTGCACCCGTATTTACAGACCCCATTAAATTATGCATAAATAAAATCTGTACACTCAAAGCACTGTTTCTCAACATTACAGAGTCTCCTACGGGACTTGGGGGGGGCGGTGGCGGATAGCAAAAAAAAAAATTAAAAAAAAAAAAAAAAACCCGCCTCATGCCTACCCTTTTCAAGTTTACTCGAAACCAAGACGTGAAATAAATACGCAAATAAAGCTTCAGTACCTTAAAGGAACAGAACATTTCAGAGCCTCTCATTTTAAGAGTTAACTCTCAGAATTAAAAAAAAAAAAAAAAAAACCACAAAATCATCAGCAGGCTTCATTTCTACAAGTTTCATAAAACCCAAAGGCCCCCTTTCAACAAGGGGTTTAAGTGTGTCAAATACCACCTATTAAACTAGTCGCTAAGCGGAGAGAATCTTTGCTTCCTACGGTCTGTAGGATTTGGTATCTGAAAAAGCCAGATAAATACTTTTAGATAAATATGGAGTGGACACAAAAAACCAGCCATGACCTTAACACTGCAAGTTACTGTCACTCTGACTCACATCGATTTGACATTTCAACAGCTGTGGGTGTGGGTTTTCTCGCGAGCCCAGGGAATTTATTTAAAAGGTTCTAAAACTTGTAGCACCATGTTCAGAGAAAAGAATGGGGTTCAAAAGAATAAAATGAGCTTAATGAACAAAGAACCAGTACTTGTCACCTTCTGATAACTTGTCCAGAGTTAGAGACACACTTCAGCGCTAGAGAAAAGAACACTAAGGAATCCAGGAGGGCACGTCAAGATCCAAAAATGAGTGGAGGCCTTTTTCATGGGAAGGTGGGTCACAACGTGTCCCCCGGCCAGAAGGGTTCCCGGTCTGTCTGGGCTGAGACGGATCGTGGAGTCCTTTTCCCTCGAGACTCTTTTCAGCCCTTGGCTCACGCCCATCCTTCATTTTCTGTGCTTCTCCATTTTCTCCAGGGTTTTGCTAGAATCGGCGGGACTCTGGTCTCCGGGGTTCATGTAGGATTTGTCTAGGACTATCAGAGCCTCTTTGATGTAGTTCTGTAGAGCGGACACAGCAGCACAGATGGCTTGGCTGCCGAACCCGTGTGTGATCAGGCTGAAATGAGACAAGCAGTTCTGTATGTTTGTCTCCAAGACCGGGGTGGGCCGGTTGTTGCCGTTGGGAGTTCGGTCTTGATTGAGGAGGTCTGTGAATTCTTTACACACCTGCCTGGGAGGATAGTCAACACACACCGGTGAGCTCCATCTAGCTCTTGACAAGGGAAGAGGACAAAGCCGGATCACCCTGAGGAGTGGGCAACCCAGGAGGCGTTCAGAACTTTCCAAAGAAACAGACTTTGCTACTAATGGTCAAAGTCTGCACACTGAGCACCTACTACGCGTCAGGCCCTGAACTCAACTCTTTGCAAGGACTCTCCTTTAATCCTCATCGGCAATTAGAAAAGCTAACGGGATTAACCCCAGTCAGAAGGCCAAGGTCACCAGGACTAGTGCGAGAGATGGGGAAAGGTGGGGTCGGGACTGCAGCCCAGGAGGTTACTTATAATGGATAGCTGCTTATTTGGAGCAGCTTGGTACACAGACACCAATTTCTTCAAGAACCCCAAAAATCCAGATCTCCCCCAAAACTCACTGTTTACACAGCTGGTTCACTCTGCTGCCTCTTGCCCCATTTTCCAACTGGAGGACCTCTGCCTCGTTTACCGTAATTTTTTAAACCAATTCACTGTTGGCTTCTAGGAGAAATCCTGGCAGCTGCATTAAAGTAGGATTTGGATCACTTAGCCTGCTCAGGTGTCTCCCACAAGTCCAACCGGATCGTTACATTTAAAAAACAAAACGTCTTGGGGTGCCTGGGTGGCTCGGTGGGTTAAAGCCTCTGCCTTCGGCTCGGGTCATGGTCCCAGGGTCCTGGGATCGAGCCCCGCCTCGGGCTCTCTGCTCGGCGGGGAGCCTGCTTCCTCCTCTCTCTGCCTGCCTCTGCCTACTTGTGATCTCTGTCTGTCAAATAAATAAAAATCTTAAAATAATAATAATAAAATAAGAAACAAAAAGTCTTATCAGGAGGCAGAAGACACCCACCATCTTGACTGGATGGGACCAAACAAAGTGTTTCCAATACCTTTTTGTAGGGTATGGAGACACTAATGAAAGGATGGTTGAACTATTCTGAGCTGCAGAACTCGGCAGCTCCAAAAGCACTCTTGCCTACGCAATACATTCATCTGACTTCTAAGTCTGACCCAAGAGCTCACTTATCTGACTTGTCAGAGAAAAGCCCCTGGCCAGCTCCAGTTCCTCCACACCGGCCCTCACTGAGCATTTCTTTCTTTCTGGAGCACCCTGGACGGTTCGGACAAAGGGCATCCCCACCACCACCACCTCCCTGCCAAGTTCAAGATCAGAGCTCCGGGCCGTCAAATTCCACTGTGGATACTCACTGTGCAGCCAGCAACATGTTCTTCCTAGCGGTCATCTCATTCCGCCCTCCAAGATGGGGTCTCGTGAGATACTCCGCCACGGGTTTACTAGGAAATTCTGCTTCACAGACATAGGCAAAGTCCCGAGCCAAATGAACAGCCTCACCTAAAATCACCAGCAATGACAAGAGACTCACTCAGAAGGTCTGCAGTCACGCCCGGGAAACCTCCCCCTCCTCTTTCTCTTCTAACCAGGAGGGTCTAGCCCCGTCACTTGGCATCTTAAAATGCAATCACCCAAAAGGAAAACCACTCAGTGCGCATGTGGAACTTTCGGTGGGCTCGCTCCCCTAGAAACAGAGCAGGGAAATGCAAAGCATGTGGAACAAAATGACATCTTTCACTGCCCTGGAATAACGCTAACCCGTCTTGGCCCCCAAGCTTAAGTTTCCTGAGAAACACCCACGTCTTCCCTCGGTAATAAAAGTTTGCCTTGTGGAGAAGCAGGAAAACTTAAAGATAAGCGCGTTGCACAAAAGCCGACTGGTCACTTCTCCTTATGAAACCGTGACAAAGTCTTTGCTGGGGAACCTTCTTTTTAAACCAGGGTGCCCCATTACTGAAGGAGGCAGGTCTCTGGGATGCTTTTCACCAAGAAAGGAAGGCAGGGCCGTGTTTCCACTGGAAAGGTTAGTGCAAACAGCCCAACTACGATCCTGGACTACCCGCCCTCTTTTGTCCCAATCACTGGGGGATCAGAGGGACAGAAAACGAACCCGGACTCCTCTCCGACCAGAAATGCCCAGGCCTGGCTCCACGGTGCCAAGGCTGGCCAGAGCTTTCCAGAAGCCCCCAAGAGTGGCACCCCACACACACCCCCTTCTCCTCCACTTTGCCACCCCAGACTTCCTAAATCTGAGAACTACTGTTTTGGCACACACTTTCTTATCCAAGGACCTCAGCCCTGCTAGTAAGAAAACCTCACGGAGCCACATTCTCGCACACAAAACCCACCATTCTCCATGCGGGACAGCTATGCTCCAAACGGCAGCTCCTTTCTCCTGGCCCTGACCTCCAAAGACACTTGTAAAAAGGTAGAGCCGGCTCTGCCAAGTCTCTTTCAGCATGCAGGAGCGCCATTAGACCAGGGACAGAAAACGATCCGAAGACCGCCTGGCCACCAGGCCACCAGCCCTCATTGGCTCCCCCAGCCCGGAGCGGAGCCCAGCGCCCTGCTGATTGGGCGAGGGGCCGCTCTGGCCTTCAGATCAGCCCCTCCGTGCCCCACTCCATCTTCCCTTGCACAGCAACAGCGAGCTGGTTTTTGAAAAAAATTATTTCACTTCTCCCTTAAGCGCCCCCCACCCACCCCCGCCTGGCCCCCACTTATTTTTAAGGCTGTAATTGCATTCTTGGCTCTCTTCCAGCTTGGGGGTACAGGCCCATTCAGTACATGAAAATGTTACATCCTACTATTTTAGGACTGGGGAGAGGGGCCCCACTAATTTTTTCTTCGTGCGGGAAAGGAACAAAGGGCTTGTGAACGGGGTTAGCCCCGCATCCACAGGGGCTCTTCTCTTCCCGGACCACAATCCTGATACCCCACAGCTACCCAAGCTGGAAATGGCGCTTCTTCCCACCAATGTGCAAAGATCGATCCATCCTCCAAAAACGGGTCCACTTGCTGGAAATGTCCCAACACCCTATGGGTGAGAGTTCTTAGGTCAGGGAAACTGATTACTTTTTCGCAGTGATTTTCTGAAGAACCCAGAACAGGATACTTAAGCAGTCAGGGACTTAAGTGTGAACTCCTTTCATAAAATCATTGTGATTCACTGCAACGAACTCACGACAACTCTTCTTCATCTCCGTTGCTGACAGGGCCATCTTTAAGCTTTCCTTAGGAAGAGTTAAGGACCCAGATGACACAGTGCCAACTAAAAACACCGTAAAACCAAAAAACAAAATTCCACTGACCTTCTACTAAGGACGTCAGGAGAGTGACGTGAGCAGCTTTCCGTCTCCCAGCTGGCAGATTCAACCCGATCTTGTCCAACTTCTCCCGCAAGGACCGGCCTCCATTTTTAGACTTGGCTCTGGGTACAAGAAAGTGAAGGGCAGCTCATTTCAAAACACTGCACTTCAAAATTCTAAATTCCGGCCGTGCTGCGATCAAAACGGAAATCTACGAGAGTATGGACATTATGTGGCTCATAATCAGGTGATACAGGGAGTCAGTCCCCTGTAATTAATGCTCTCTCCTATCATCCCCAACATTTTTTCTTTCCAATCACAGAACATTCCAAACTGTGCTGGAGCAGATGAATTTACTGCAGCAGCCCCCTGGGGCAACAAAACGCATGCGGCTCCCCCTTCTCCAATGGGATGCCACCACTTCTTACATGCAATCAAATCCTAAACAAATGATAATCTGTGAGCGCTGTTTTAGCACTTCCTTCTACATCTGGCACTTTCCAAAAGGGAAAGAATGTACTAAAATTCTAAGCCGATTAGAATTCAGTGTTAAGTAGAAATGTTACATAAATGTTAAAAATACCTCCTCGGTTCTTTTATGTTACTCGCGGTCAACCACCCAACCACCAACCACCATGGCCAGAGCGTGTGTGTCCCCATGTACCTTCTGAGAACACCTCCCAGCAAGGAGGCGTTTAAACACTCGGGCGGGGACAATCGCCTCTGGACTTCAGCAACTGTAACTTTGTATTTAGACGTGGAGCTGAGGAGGGACAATCTTCCCGGGACTGAGCAGAAGACCTCACTGGGATTCATCACAGCCCCCACAAGCTCCTTCTGACAAGGGAGACTCAGTGGGTTCTTGGTCATTGAAATGGGACCTGTAAATAAGATCACAAGTGGCAGTCCCAAAAGCTGCACTTAGGAAAAAGGGAGGACCCTTGCAAACCACTCACCAAATAACACCGCACGCTGGACTATGTAAATTACAAGCGGATTTTTTAAAGTCCTAGTCTTCAAAGATAATAGAATCCGAAATTCACAAGTTAACACCTTACAGATAACTAGTCCTGACCCCAAGCATGGAGGGTTTTCACTTTCGATCCACTGTTAAAATCTGTTTAATTAGAACACTTGTTTTCGAAAGACTGCTTCAGCCCTAAATAAATGGTGATTTTTTTTTCTTCCTCACTCGACAACCAAAATCACCAGACACATTCAGATCCCCTGCTGAAGACTTCACAGTGTGACTATCATGGTAAATTTAAAAATACAAACAAACACGTTCTATTACAAGTTTCCTGGGAAATCCAGTTTATTTTCTGAGTTTCCCAACTGAGTTTTCCCATTTCCCAACTGATTTCGAGCAGTTTAAGTTCCAGCAGCAGACCCTAACTACCTTTCATCTAGAAGCAACTCCCATCTCCGAAACCGCCGGACTGGTAATCCCCTCAGTACCCAAGCTAATTTCTCGAGCTGCCTGATCCTATTTTCCAATCCCCTCCCCCACTACCCTGCATAAAGCCCAGCTCTCACACACACTGTCCCACCCTGGTCCTTTTAAAGCTGGATATTTGGTAGGCCGAAGTGTTTCAAAACCTTTTCTTACAGGTTAGAATAGAATCACATCTACTCATTCAACAATGGTCACAGAATCGACCACCCAACTAAGGTATGTGGTGTGGTTTTTTTCAGTTGTTAACTCACACTGGTTAACAATGTAAAAACACCACCCAATTCAAGGGATCGTATTCCCCAAGAGAACACTACGCAGTAACAAATCCGGATTAATCTCTTACTGGAGACAGCTCCTAAGAGTTTTCCTACCATCCTTTCTCATTTAATTTGGAAAGAGATCTCTTCTTACTCAGAAAAATCTACCTTCCTCCAGCCCCCGTCAGTCCCTTCCCCAGCACAGATGTCCCCTGGTCGGCCACCAAACGCCCCCACCTTGCCAGGTTACATGCGTGGCCCCGGGTGGAGAAAAGTTCGCTCTCACTACCTACCTTTGCGAATAACAGTCTGATCGTGCAGAAGCAGGTGCTGATCGTCAACATTCTGGGAAGAAACAACAAAGTTTCTCTTAAATTCAGGGGAGCCTGGGGGGGGGTGGGTAGTAGAAGCTGGGAGGCGAGCAGGTCCCGGTTTGAGGGGCAAGAGCCGAGGAGCCGCTCACCTGCACCTCCTCCATCTGGTGCGTCATGTCGTGCAGCCCCAGGTTCTCAGCCAAGCCCGCGGCGTCCAGGGCGTGCGCGTGGGGCAACAGCAGGTCCGAGCGGCGGTAGGCATCCCTGCGGGCGCTCATGGCGCCACCCTCCAGCCCGGAGAGGTGGGGTAGCAGGCCGGCCGGGCGCCCGTGGTGCGAGGGCAAGCCAGCCCCCTCCTGGCTCTGGCGGCCCGGCCAGGCCTGCTGCTGGCTGCCGGTGGGGGCTGGCTGGTGCAGGGGGTTGATGGCAGCGGCGTAAGCTTCTCCCAGATGCGAGTAGGGGTCGGCCGACTGCGAGTAGGCCAGCTGCTGGTAGGGCGGTGGGAAGTAGGGTGGTGGTTGGTATTCAGCGACTCCAGTATGGGAGAGGGGTGGCGCGGGGCTGTAGAGGTGCTGCCCCGCGGAGGAGAGGTGGGGGAGGCGCGGGTTCCCATTGCTGCTCGCGTCGTGGCGATCCTGGGAGAGAGAGAAGCAGAGACCCCGCTAGTACAAAACCCGGCTACTGCGAACTGACCGCAGCCGCGCCGCTGAGCGGCGAGCCCCCACGGGACCCACCGCACCAGCACGAACCCAACCCGCTGGGCCTGCCCTCCGGCCGGAGGGCATCCGGAGGCAAAGTGCCCCAGGGGGTTCGTTGCAAACCCCGAGTCCACGGAGTAAATGGAGACTTCGAAAAACCTGGGGGAACGCGTCCTCAAAGCCCGGCGGCGAAGGCCTGGGCCCTGCGACGCCCAAGGCGCTCTGAAGCGCCCAGTCCGAACCCCAGGCCTTGGGCCAAAAGAAGGCCAGGTCCCGGCCAGGCGAAGAAGTCGACATGCGGCGAGCACCATGCGGAGCCCGCTCGCTCACCAGCCCGCACATGGCGGCGCCAGACCAAAGAACCTGCGGCAGCTGCGAGAGCGGATAAAGCGCACAAAGCGGGAAGTGCGCATCTTCCCCGCCCCAGGGACCCTCCCCTTCCACGCCCTCAGGACAAAGACCTCCGGGGGAGCGACACTCCCGAGCAGGATTGCCACCCAGCGCCGCCGAGCCGCTCGGGGAGGCACGCACCGCAGCTAGCGCTGCCCTCCCTGCTAGCCGCGTCCCGAACAAGAGGGGATACAGCAAGTGAGGCCGCCCTGCCCGGCCACGATCAGTGTCCCCACAGATCGGGGCACAGGGGGAGAATGAAGGACCCCGAATATTGGGCAACCTTGCCTGCGCACGTCCCTTGCCCCAAGGCTCTCTGACTTAATTCTCAAAGAACTTGTCTCCCTGGGTTCGAGGGGTCACAGGGGTAGCGGGGAACCCGGAGAAACATGGCACTGTCGCCCCCTAGCGGAAGTGCCCGGGCCTGCCGACAGGGGCAGCCCCTTGAGGTCCCGCCGGCGCGCAGCCCTCGCGCGGCCCCCCAGTCCCGGCTCCGCTCTGCCAGCGCCCTGGCGCACACCTCCGGCCGCCCGCGTCTTCCTCTTCCCGCTCGCCGCCTCCCTCCCTCCCACTCTCCGAAACTCTAGCTCAACCTGTCCGACTGGCTGGAGCACTCCCGAGCGCTTACGGCCCCATCTGGCCCCAGGGCCCCCCCACCAACACTCCCCAGCCCCCACTTCTCTTAAAAGCCCAACTTCTGTCCTTTTCTTGTTTCCCCGAGGAGTTAGCGGGGCAGGTGACAAGCCCGCCTCGGAAGAGACTCTGCAAAGGTGTCGCCGGCAAGTCGCCTCGTCTGACCCCTTTGGACGGAGATGTGGTGCGTAAAAGCCACGTCTAAGGGCTGTAGACGGGACGCTCTTCCGAGAAAAGGGGAAGAAGGGCTGTTTTGCTTCGCAGGAGACCGACCGGTAAGCTCTGCGGGTGGGATCTGCCATTATCGTTCCAGGCCCTGTTCCCGAGGGTGGATGTTTAGGAAAAGGCCCGATTCAGGAAGAGAGCCCCGGAGAAACGGACTAGGGGGCGCCCGGAAAAGTGGACCCAGTCCCATCGAGGGGCAGAGGCTGGTGCCTGCTCGCTGCTCCCGCGCCCTCGCCCTCGCCCCCACCCGGGTCCAGAGGCCCCCGCCTCCCGGGCTGTACTCGGGAGGGGCTAGAGTGCGCCCCTACGCCCAGCTCACCTCGCAGTCCTCTTCATACTTGACATTATCGGTTATTTTCCACAACATGGCGTCCGGCGTCCCCCAAAACAGTCGCCAGTTCAATCCAGGCTCCCCCCACCCCCCGAGCGGTAAATCCAAAATGGGGGTCACGGTGGCTAGCCGTCTGCCGCCGCCCCCGCCACGCGAGGGCCTCGCTGTCCCGGTCACTGGACGCGCATCGGCGGCTCTGCGAGCGCAGATGCTGCCTCCGCGCGTGCACAAGCCGCGCCCGCACTGTGTGTCCCGGCAATAGCCGGGGGACCCGGGCGCCTTAATGAGAAGGAAATTATCATAACTCCTCCCCGGGGGCCGGCACCAAGGCCCAGGCGCCGGGCGGGGCAGCCCCCAGCCAGTCCCAGCCTAGCTCCGCCCTGCACCCCGGCGGGGCGCCGAGCGGAGAACCGAGCTGCTGGGGGCAAGGAGAGGAGGCGCGTGGGCGGCACCTCTCTGACAGCCGCCGACCAGCTAGGTCGGGGTCCCCAGTCGCGCCGTCCATCAGTCATCCCCGACATGCGAGGTTGGCAGAGCTGGGGCCCGGGATCCACATACCTAAGAGCCCCCCTTCTTTTTCCCAACGCTCCTTCCCCCATTCCAAGACGTTGTCACCTGGAGTTAAGAGACCCCGCGTTCGGATATCTTAACAGCTAGCGTCCCCCTCAGCTGCTAAAATGTCCCATCCCACCCACTCACGGAGACTTAAGGTTTGGGCTGGGATCTTGCAGCCAGAGCCCCGACCCCTCTGAGAGACGCCTCCCCTTCCCTCCCTCTCCGTGGTCATAGCGCCGGTCCATTCCTCCGAGGGGCTGGAAGAGCGAAGGCCTTCTGGGGAAGTCTGCCCCGAGCTCCACGGAGCGGGCGGGCCTCCAGCAGCCAACGGCGTCTGGCCGCCATCGCCCCAAGGTGCATCTCCGCCGCTGACTGCGGCTGGGGGTCACCCGCGCGCCCTCACCCAGCCCAGCCCAGCCCAGCCCTGCCCAGCCCTGCCCAGCGCTGGCTCGGCAGCTGCCTCCGACGGGCCAGGCACTCGGAAGCCTCAACTCACGCAGGAAAAGAGGTGCGGGGCGGAATACAACCCAGGCGCCACGCGCGGGGGAAGGGAGGAGGTGGGAGAAGAGGGGAGGGGCGGGAGAGGGACCCCGCGCGAGGGATGAGTACCCCAGTTCTGCAGATGCAGACGGAAAACGAAAGTTACGCAGAAACGCTGCCTCTAGCCCCAATATTTATTTGCCACCCAAACCTGAACGCAATGCGCAATATTAAACTTTTTTTAAAGAAACGAAATCCATTGGCCCAATTACTGTAACTGACCTTTTTCACTGCAGGGAAAGTCGCTAATTTTCAAGGGCGAATTTTACTGGGACGTCCCGTCTGGCTCCTGGATCTGAATTTAAACATTCTGACAGAATTGGAGAAGGGGGCTATTTCGATCTGATTCCGAATCCGGCTGTGCAGTAATTAATACCCGTGGGTACAGGACCCGGCCTGGGGCGGACGCTGCCCCATCTACAGAATGGTCTGCGCACACTGCCTTCCTGCTCCGTCTCCGGGTGGTCTGAGCTCTGGCATGTCTTTAGACCCACATGGGCCTAAAATAAAAATAACTGAAATAAAAATGGGCGTCCTCCAAGCGAACGTCCTCTGTTGCCTTAGAGTAGACAGAGCTGAGGCGATAGTCCTACCAAATGTGGGAACAAAACCTGGTAGTGAAACCACCGGGGGCTTTTCGGGGCTTTGCACTATAAAATACAAAGGACGTTGCACACACTACCCCGGACACCTCGCTTCCAAAACACCGAGGCCTGCGGGCAAAATAACCTCAAAAGCAGAGCTCCCGGTATGGGGGGAGGGAGGCGGGGGCACCTGTGCAACGCAGGAATCAGAACGCAGGCGCAACAGGACGTGGAAGGTTGGGGTCCCAGGCACTTGCGAGAGGGAAGCTGCGAGCCTCCTTCAGGCTCTCCGGACTCCCAGAGCGCTGACGCGGAGGCTCTCCTCCACGCTGGGCCTTCTAGACCCGGGTTTAACTCAAAGACCCCGCCTGGGGTGCAACTTGAACAAGTTGTCTCGTCCACGCCGCCAACTTTTCCCCCAGGCAGGTTTGGAACCTGGGCAGGGCAGAAAACGGGCCACCCCCCCCCCCCCAACCCCAGGCCCGCTGTCCCTCCTTCCCGCAGCAGCTGTGCCCGAAGCAACCCGTAGGGACAGAGATTCCTCCCAGCCCGGGGGGAGAGGCAAATGGAGCCGATGGCCCCGAGGGACTGCGCGCCTCCTTTCGGGGAGCCCCAGGGGCCTAGACGTTTCCGAAACGCTGGGCAAGGCCCATTCATTTTCCAGGCAGCGCCCTGGACACCCGCGCTGCCCCCATCTCCCAGGGCACGCGTTCAAGGCAGAGCGCGGCTTCCGCGCCCCGGATGGAAGGAGGCGCAAACAAACGCTACATCTCCTCGGCCCTGGAGACCCTGCCCAAACACGCGCACCCCCGGCTCGGGGCGGGAAGCCAGGCACGCGCGCGCCCAGCTCGGGGCGGGAACCCAGGCACGCGCGCGCCGGGGCGGGAAGCCTCAGCCCTTCTTTGAGCTCTAGGTTTCTTCCCTCTGCGGGAAGCAGGGAGCGCATGGCTCCCGCACCCGGGACGGACCTCCCTCCGAAGCCCCCGCCCCTCGCCGCGGGAAGACCCGGGCCTGCGCGGCTGCGCCCCCGAGCAGCCGCCGCTCCAGGAAGGGTATCCCCTCAGGACCCTCCGAGGCTTCGCAGCCGCTTAACTGTAAACAGAATTAGGGGATCCCGGGGGTGAGCCTCGCAGAACGCCACGCAAAATCGGGGACATGGGGGTAGGTAGAGGGTTGTCCGCTGCTCCCTCTGTCGCCCCCTAGGGGGCCTGCGCTCGCAAGCACTCGAAGCCGGGACCCCGGCCCCCATCCCGCTCCGACTGCCCAAGAAACCCGAATCGGAAGACCCGGAGGCGTCTGCGTAGAAGCGCAGGCGGGAGACCGCCGCCGCCTCCAACTTTCCGCCCCCGCAAACCGAGGAAGTCTGCGGGGCAGGTAGAGCTGGATCGCGGTTGGCCCGAGACTTCTTTTCCCGCCCCAGGGAGGGGGCGCCCGGAGCTGCAGGTGGAGGCCCCCGAGCGCCCTGGAGGACGCAGCGCCGCGCAAGGTGTCTGTCCCGCCCCTTGGAGCAGCGTGAGCTCCCGCAGAGACCGCGGCTAGGCGGCCAGCCGGGTTAAGCAGAGCAGCAAAGCGGGGGCCTGCAGCAATCGAAGAGCGCGCCCCTTCACGCGCCCTACACTCTACTCCACGCCCTCCCTTCGCGGCACCGTCATCCCACTGGACAGACACACTTGGCACCAGAGGCCTCCCAACGGTCTAAGCCAACTCCAGGGGCACGCTCTGGGGCGCCACATGCATCATTTCACAGCCACTCCAAAATAACAGCAATAACATAAAAACAGCAGGTTGTTTTGATAGTGTGCAAGGCGGCCGCCGCACACACATAGAGGCTTCCTACTTAACCCAGGCTCCGACCCGACTCCACTTACTGCTCACGTCTGGGCGCGCGGCCACAGGCCGGGGCTGGAACGGGGCTTCGCGGCCTGCAGCTCTTCTTCGCAAAATCTGCTTTTACAAATGAACAGAGAGTCGCGGGCGCTAAGGGAGCCTGCGGGACCCAGGCTCCGGGGAGGGCCCGGGTGCATCTCTGTCCCCAGCGCAGTCCGGGCGCTCATTCCAAGAGCGCTAGCCAGGTGCACAGCCCGTGGTTATAGTCTCTAACTTGACGATCACAGCCCCATTTCGCAGCAGGCGAAGGTGAATTTTTGGTCGTCCAACTACCTCAAAGCCACAAACATGCCTGCTATTCAAGGCCACCTCCCTCGCGGCTCTCCCGGAGACCTGTTAGAGACAAGCCTAGCTCACGCCAACCACCCCCCCCCAACGCCCGGGGGTACCGCCGCCCTCCAGAGGCCACGCTCGGCGGCAGTGTCTGTCACTTCCCCTCTAAATCCCAGGGCCCACCGGGGCGCATTCTAACCTCTCCGAGCACAGGCAGCCGGGCTAAGGCTCCAAACCCGCGTCCCCGGAGGCCTTCTGGGCTCGGCGTCCTGGGACACCATCCACCTCCAGGCCAACTACGCCCGGCGGCCTTAACGCATTTCTCTGATCGCCTCCAGGCGACGAGGAGGCCCATTGTGGCCAGGCGCCCCGCGACGCGGACTCGGCTTCCAGCGCCCGGGAGCCACGCTGCGTCCCCATGCGCGCCCTATCCACCCGGCGGGCATCCTCCCGCACGCCTCTCCTCCCTGCGGGTCTGCCCTCCACCCAGCACCTCTCTTCTCACCCTTAGGAGCTGGAAATTCATGTCGTCACCTCTTCCACTTCTGTTGAGTGGAGGATTTAAAAAATGGGAGCAACGCTGGAAGAGATCCCCAAGGGCCCAGTCGTGTGCCGCAAAGTGCTGCGAGGTTTATTTAATTAACGGAAGGGGGAAGTGCAGAGGGGTGGGGGGGGGGTCAATTCACAGCCAAAACCGGCTATCGCGATTGGAAGACACACCTGAAAGGTCGTGGTTACTCCTCCCCCGCCCCCTCCCCTTGGAAACTGTAAACTCGCCAATTGAAAAGGGTCTTCCCCGGCGTCTTGAATGATCTTGACGCCTGTGTGACAAGCAGTATGCACTAGGGCTGCTTGCAGCACGAAATTCTCTTAAATGTCCTCTAGGGCTTGCTGGCAAAGGCCATTTTAAATCTATCTGGTCTCCGAAGCTGGATCTGTTGACATTGCCGTCAGTTCTCAGGCGTCTTTTCTGGCTCTGATCGAACTTGAGGCCCCACACAGGGTTCCAGGTCCAGTTAAAACTGAACCACGGCCCAGTGAATTCCCTGGGGGAGAAGGAGTTGAGTGGACTTGGGGCGTCTTCCTTCTTTCCCTGGAGAAATTTGCCTGCACCTTGGTTATCCCCACTATTTGCCTTAAGAACAGGGGTGAAGAGCTGTGGTTACAACAAACAAACAAAACCCCCTAAGAAACAAAAACAAAAGGGGCGCCTGGGTGGCTCAGTGGGTTAAAGCCTCTGCTTTCAGCTCAGGTCATGATCCCAGGGTCCTGGGATCGAGCCCCGCATCGGCTCTCTGCTCAGCAGGGACCTGCTTTCCCTCTCTGCCTGCCTCTCTGCCTACCTG